CCAGTGGCCCCAAAACATGAGCCAGCAAGCCACTGGCAGCCAGCCCTCTACTGCTCCCCAGGAGAAGTCTGCCAGCTCCCAGGAGCCTGCCAGGGCCCAGAGAAGGTGAGCACCTTCCTGGTCCAGAGAGGAGATCATGGACCTTATTCAGGTTTGGGGGGGATGCCCCCAACGTCCACGATCTCCACACTAGATGGAAGAACGCGGCTGTCTATGGCAGGATAGCTGCCAGCCTGCCCACCAAAGGCCACATGTGAACCCAGGAGCAGGTTTTCATGAAAATCAAGTTGGTCTGGCGAGACCCCCAACCCTGAGCTTCCCCTCCCCCCTCTTCCCCTTGCTTCCCCCTTCCAGCTCCCTCCTTCCAGGTTTCCCCGTCCCCTCTCCCACCTTCTCTCCTTCCCTCTCCTGCCTCTTTTCCCCAGTCTCACCAGAATTTCATTTTCCCCCACCCAGTTTTGTTAAATAAAGAGAGTTCATGTTCATGAAAATACATGTATTTTATTTGACATCAGGAAGGGGGGTTAGGGAGGGTAAGTGGAAGGACGTGAGGGAGGAATGAGGCACAAGCCCCCAGTGGGGCAGACCAGGAGGCACTTAGTGCTCTTCAGGGTGGAAGCTCTCCTGCAGGACCTCCTGGATCCTGACTGCCCCCCAATGGACCTCCCGGATGGCAGCCTACAGAAAGTGCAGCCAGGCTCATGGCAATGTGTCCACGAGAAGCAACAGAATGCCATGGGGCAGCTCTGGCTCCATGCTGCAGAGTTCTGTGGTGTCCCGAGTGAGGGCAACCAGAGCACACAGAGACAAATGCTTTGCTGTCCCTCATCAAGGTAGGCAAGCAAGCAGGAAAACCTGAGAACCGGCTGTCCGGGGGGTTCCCTTTAAGCACAGGCCTCAGATAGCCTCAGGCAGCAGCCACACAAAGTAACTCCTGACCTGATGCCCTGCCGGACCTGGTTCCGGCCAGCCTTAAATGCGATTCAGCATCCACTCAGTGTGGACGTGCTATTTCAAAATAGCTAAATGCTATTTCAAAATGCATTTTGTGTGTAAACGTGTTATTTTGAAATAACTTATTTCGAATTAACTATTTTGAAATAAGATATTTCGAAATAACGCTGTAGTGTAGATATACCAATTATGATTTGATCCTACTAATTTTTCTGATTTCTTCATTTCTGTTCTTATGACACAGCAGTTCAAGTCGCTCTATGAGGATTTTAAATAGATGTTTCTAATACACACTAGAAGGGATTTAATATATTGAATAGCCTTATATCAAAGAGGGTTATAACTAACAGAGTAACAGGTGCCCAAACTAGATTGACTATATGCAAAGCCAGGTTCACTGGAGCTCCCTTGATCACTCAGATCAAGACACACAGAATCTATTTCGGCAGGTCACTTGATCATCCATTGCAGCCCCACTAGTTGTGAGAGCCCTGATTGGCTAGGTATGTGCACTGGCTGACAAATCACTGGCAGTTCTGTAAAAAAACAACACATGGTCTGATGTATGAGCCTCTACCAGAGAATTCTGGGTCCAGCTCAGCAAGGAAAAGGTGGAAAGTCTGGCAACTCAACACCACCTATGCAGACCAGACTTGGAGTCAGGAGGTCAGCTGACTACTAACTCACTGTGTAACCTCATGCAATTAATAATTTCTCAGTGATCTGGTTCTTCCATTTGTGAATGGGGGATGATATTTATTTACTCCCCTTTGCATCTCCAGATCTCCAAGCACTTTACAAAGGGCTAGACAAGTGCTAACCACCCCTGTAAAACACCACTTCAATGATTAAAATGAGACAATATCAAGGAAGTTTCAGTTTTAGCAGCAACAGCTATACAGAGGTCTATGAAAGAGCACACAACGCAGAGGAAAGCCAACTCTCCACAGATGCCTCAGATCCATAGGATCCTAGAGTAGACCGTGACAATTCAAAGGGCCAAATTAATCACTAGAGAAACTCCCCCGCATTCAAGGATTAACTGGAACTGAGACTGCTGGAATCTCTGTGGCAGCTCTAACAGGATGGGCACAGAACAGTCAGATGCAAGGACACAATTTAAAGAGAGAGCACGAGTCCTAGACCATTCAAGCCCCTCTTCTAGCAACAAATGGCAGAGGAGCAACAGTGCATCACTGACTCATTTTAAGCCTTATTAAATGCATGCCCAGAGGCCACAATGGGGGCCTCAAACCCATTCAGTAAATTGGCAATAACAAAACCTGGCCCAGTGTTCCTATGAGCCTTTTCTGTGTGCATCTCATTCACATGGGCATTACTAACACTGCAAGGCAGCCCTGCTTGGCAGTCTGCTTTCTTTCGGAAGCTTATGCCACCAATCTGTAAATGTTTGGTGTTAATTGGAAATTATTCTGAATATGAACTGCTAGCAACTAGCATTTAAACTAGCGCCTGCCAACTAACTGCTCATTAACAACCCCTTCCTCTTACCCGGAAGGGAACTTCACTTGTTTATGCTCCTCTACTAACTTTCCCTTTCTTTTCTTCAGGTGCCTTTTTCAGAACTTGCTCCTGACACAAAAATTACGGAATCAGTTACGATCCTCTCAGCAACACACTCCACAGACCAAAAAAAATCCAGCGGGAAGCCAAGCTTTTGTTCCTCCTTCCACTATGAGAGAGCTGGCTCTTGCTATGAAAATATTTAACTCCCTTCGCCATAGGAAAAATTACTTAGCTACTTTCAGTAGTCACTGTGGTTTCTATTCCCCCTCCCCCACACACACACCAGAAAAGCCCCAGAAGTAGGTAGAATAGACCTGATACCATACAGTCCCAATGCTTGAGTTTATGGGGTTCTAATGTTTCTTGGCTGATCCATAAATCAGGTGATATCTAGGAAAATTGGGGTTTGAAGGAAAGATGAATAGAGACAAAGGAAGAAAATTCACTGGAGATTGCCCTTTTTCCCCCTCCCTTCCTAGCTTTCTGGAGAGCAGGGAGATATGTTAGGCAGAGAGAATTGTGTAAGTTTTATTAAAAGAGGTTCAGTGTACAGTTCCACTTACTTTGCACAAGAATGGGAACTCCTCACTCATGAGTAGTTACAATCAGTTCCATTAATTTCTGTGGAACTACTTCTGAGAACACCAGCTCACAAGCATGAATCTGTGGTCCCCATACTGGCCTTATATAAGCAGCTAATTCAAATTAACATTTTATAAAAGCAATATACTGTGATGATGGCACATATGTAAATAGACAGACAAGTGTCTAGCAAGCCCTAAACAGTTTAAGAATACCCAAGAGGCTGTTTGGGGATGAACATTAATAAGATTTTTTTTTAAAGGAAAACACTTGCAAGATTGAAATCTTTCTACTTTGAACAGTTTTAAAAACAAAACAAAACGAAATAAGCAAAGGCAGACATTCTGGCAGCTGTGCCCAAATGCTCATGCACAGGGAATAGACTCAAAGATGTGAGAGCAGCTATTTACAATACCTAAAAACAGCACTGCATTCCTCCTTTTTGGTAAAACTCCACCAGATGCCCCTGGTACCTTCTGGAAAGAAAGCAAGAAAAAAGACACCATTAAAAATCTAACCTGTGACAATGAAATAAGCAAACAACAGCCTCATGCCGGAGCTTCCCCTGACAGGTAGAGGAGCCAATGTGTGTTTGATGTGTTTTGGACTGGGATATAAAGTAGTGCTGCTAAAAGGTGCCAGACTTGATAACAAAGCCCTCTATATAATCACAGACTAGGTAGAGCAAGGGACCAGAAGCATAGGCTTCCTTATCCTTCACCAATAAACTCAACTCTGATTCAGCGGGAAGTCAGGGTAATTTATTCTATATGTGTACTTCTCTCTGCCAAGAAGAGTGAGCAATTGTGATAGCATTGATAAGGAGACACACACACCTTCAGAATTGGGATGGGACCATCATGCAATTTCATATACACTCCTCAACCATCAAATGTCAACAGTGCTTAACGGCGGGAGACAGACTGGACATCACAACCCAGAGGTGAAAGACTGCCTCCCATTACCAATCCAAGTGGGCCAGCAGAGCCCTTCTGGCTGTAACAACAGACGGCTACCTAAAGTAAATCTAAAATAAATCCCTCCCCAAAGAAGGCCTAAACCTGCTCCCACTGAAGTGAATGAAAACCATCACAATGGTCTGTAAGTGCTAGGTACAATGCAGAAAACCTATGCTGGGAGATGGGTTTAGTTTTAAGATGGTAAAAATCTATGAGTAGAGCACAGCTGTGGAGCAGGTATTCTAGTGACAGAGCTAATTTCAATTTCAAGGTAGGGCTTCTGCCAATTCAAAGTGCTTTATAAAGCAATAGGAAGTATACTGGCAGTGTAAAAGCAAGTGCAACCACAACTCTTTCTAAGCTATTCAGAACTAGGTACCGTTAAACTTCTTTCATGATTTGTTTTTTCTGGCTATTGTGTCACCAGCATGTCTTTTCTAGCATGTAACATAATGTCATGCTGCTTTAAGTGGGGTTTGTTTGTTGCTTCTTTTTTAAGCAGTAAAATTAGAATATAACAGGTGGAAAGAGCCAGGCCCAGAATCTGTCAACCTAGGAAGAATTCATGTGTTTGTCTATGCTGACAGCAAGGTCAAGAGTTCACATATTTTGTGTGACTCCTTCTGCCATGTAAATAAAGCTTCGGCCAAAGAGATTAGCCAGAATCATCAATAAGCTTTCGCACCCCACAGAAAAGTTTTCCATTATCAGAAAGAACAGATGCCAACTAATGTTTCTTGGCTACACTTAACAAAACAACAAAACCTACTGTTCAGATTTACCCGAGTGATATTTGATTTCTTTTCCCTGTAGGCGGGGGGAAATGGCCACTACCATTTAAAACTTGCTAATTTTTCTCAATGAAATGTAAACGACAAACAGAATTACTTTATGTAGCATCTTCTCTCACTCTCAAAAAAATCCCTGATCTACTATAAAAAGCAGCAACAGCAACAATATATCAAATAGACAGTGGCGCTGTCACACTATACACCCCAAATTATCCTAGTGATTCAACCCTGACACTGGAAAGTTGGGACTAAACCCCCACCACTGTGTGTGACCTAGAACAGGATGTTAAGACCAAAATTTTCAAGTGCGACCACTCACTTCGGGTACTTAACTTCAAATATCTCAGCCTGATTTTCAGAAGTGCCACAAACACCTGCCACGCTCAGAATTCCCCTGAAGTTGTGGGTGCTTGGTCCTTCTGGAAAAGCAAGCAATTTATGCCTGGCTTTCCCTATCTGCAAGCCAAGGGTGATACATTTTCTCTCATGGGATATTACAACTTTAATTAATATTTGTAAAGAATTTTAAGATCTTCCCACAAAAGGCAGAGTCACTGTGAAATGGTAATGTCAGTGCTACGTCAGTCTCTCCAAGTTACTTATACTAAGTGCCAGGAACCTTATTTAGACGCTTTATGAATCACAGATCTGTGTAATGAACCACCATACTATCTGTGTTCTCACAAGAGGGCCCATCACTAGCTAGTATCTGAGCACCTGCCATGTAGCAAATCTTATCCTTCTCTATGCCGTATGTACAATGGTTTCAAAAGTCATGGGGCCGAAGTAGGGATGTAATGATGTAGTCGATTAATGGATAAGCAAAAGCTTATCAGTTAATGCTATAAACTACACGCATTTCACTCCTCCCCACTCCCCCAGGTAAATTTTTTAGCAGGCTGGACTGCAGCCCAGTTCAGTCCCAGCTTGCACCGGGTCCAGGACCTATCCCTGCTGTGGCTCTGCATTTGAAGTGTATTAGGAGCCAGGTGGGCAGGCAGCCCAGCTTAGTTCTGGATGCTCAGACCCCCTCTGGCCAGGGGCTGCTGCCACCCCATGCTGCTGCCTCTATATCAGAGGCAGCAGTGTGGGACGACAGGCAGCCAGTCTGCGAGGGGAGCTGGTTTTTACCTGGGTCCCCTAGCAGGCCAGTTCCCGCCTGGCACCCCATGCTGCTGCCTCTGATACAGCGGCAGCAGCACGGAGTGGCAGGGGGCTCCTCGAGAGTGGAGCTGGAGCGCACTGGCTGCTGGCTCCATCCCCGGGGACTATAAAATAGTTGAGTAACCAATAAGAATTCATTAGGTTAATCAACTATTCAATTAACCAATATTTAACATCCCTAGGTTGAAGGCAAAGAGAGGACTAAAACTGGACACTGCCTGTGTTATACCCCCACTGCATAGAGTACTGGCAACACAGCCACTGACGTATGCTTCCCATTGATTCTATGGAAGAGAACCTAGGAACAGAACAGTGGTATAAGCTGCCATCACTCTACTGAAATCAATGGAACTAGACAATTTATACAAGTGGGCAACTTGGCCCTTGCTCTTTTGTAAAGCTGTGGCAGAACACAATATCACACAGCTGATAGTTATCCCAGACACTTCAAAATGTGACAAAGACTTCCGCTTTTTGCAAGGATGATACCAAGGCAATGACACAAAAATAGCAGCCTGGTCACCTGTATCCAAAGTCACTGCACCCAAAGCTTTATAGCTTCTCTACCTCATTCAGCCCTAGTGCTTAGTAAGCACTCAGGAACCTGTGCTGGGTCCTCCATGAAGCTGTCAAGCAGGTGAACTTCATTACAGGCAGTCTAATGGATTCGCAACACTTGGCATTGTTTTGCTATGACATGGGGTCCCATCACTACCAACTCCACATGGAGGAGCTGGCTTCCACCACTTAGGTAGCACTATCCCAACAAGCTGTTTTAAGAGCAGAAGTACAGGTCCTCAAAAGGATCACCAGTTTCTCCTTACTGATGCTTTCAATCATTCAGTATGGGCAGCAGGCTTAGCCAACCTTGCTGATATCTTTGGCTACGTGAATGAATGAGCTGAACTACTCATTCCAGGGGCAACACAGAAATGCTTGTTCATCTGCACCAGGGTACAAGCATTTATCAGAAAACAGGGATATTGGTCTTCCTGAGCACAAAGGAAATGTGGGATCATTTCAGACTTCGAGACAACACATCGGCAAACTAGCACGGATCAGTAGAATCCATTCAACTGTATTTTTATAGTTCCAATTAGCTAACTTAATTGATGTTAGTATCCTAATGCCAAACATCTAGTAAGGTAACATGGAGACATATATGAATTTATGATAACGTCTAGCAGAAGTGAAGCAGAGAAGTAGTTTTCATTTTCACCCCACTGTATCTAAACCTTTGGAGACATATCCAAACACAGGTACATACACACACAGCTAACATAGGGGCATTGTGCTAGACAACCCTTGTTTTCTCAGAGAAACAGTAATACTATTGTACTATGAGTTTATATATTCCCTCTCATTCAAAAGGATCCTAATGTGGATTACAAATGGTAGAATTTATGGACATTCAGCCACTGAAACGCTGCAGCTTTTAACATTACACATTAGGCTCTATTGCCATTATGTCACCCTCCAGCCATATACTGCGCCAAACTTGCTGAACCTGGCATGTGAGATCTGACAATATCCCGCCCAAGATGGTACAACTGCAACTTGCAAAGAAGCTTCAAAATTCCTCAATAGGGGGAGATTGTCTTTGCAGTAATCCAGCCATTTACATTTATTCTGACACCGAGATGAACATCAGGGTACTTGCTTTTCACCGCTAAAGATCTGGGTTCAAACTCTCACCAACTCTGCAAGGAAAGAGATTTTGAAAATCCCAGTTTAACCCCAATTTGGCTTTACACTGAAACCTCCCATCTACTTTGGCATGACTCTCTCATGGACAGAATAACAAGGACATTGGGGGCTAGGGATGAATAAGCCTGAATAGAATTTCTGCCCACCCAGCTCTAGCCAGTGCAATTACCTTTCCCAAGCACTAAATCCACTCTCCAAAAGAACATTTGCTAGAACCTGCCCAATCTACCACAAGAAGTTTACAGTAAGGCTGCATCTCCATTTACTGGAGGATCGATTCGCTAACGATTGATCTTCCTGGGTTCGATTCAGAGGGTCTAGTAAAGACCTGCTAAATTGAATGCTGAGAGTGCCCCCACGGACACTGAGGGTACTCTTCGCTGGTGGGAGCATTAAGGGAAGTCAATGGGAGCACTATGGAGACGGCACCATGCTTGGTTTAAGGTACATCAATTCCAGCTATGTTATTTATATGTTGCTGCAGTTGCGTACTTTAAGCTGACCTTCCCCCCCACAGTGTAGACCTGGCCTTAGAGTGTAATGGAAATGCAAACTATTTTCCAATTGTGTAGCGACATGGAATCTTCTGCCAGAGGATTTCCCTCATTTTTAGCATGCACCCACTCACCCCAATTTCTAGACGCCACTCGTCTGATAAAGAATGGACAGGACATTTTTCCAAGTTCAAGAGAGATCTTTGATCAGCAAAGAAATCACTGCTGTCAACCAACCCCACGTAACTATTTCAGTCCCAGAAATTAGCCCAAGGATTCAGAGCTATATTGCAAAGTAAATTGAGTGGCACATCAAACCAATCCATACCCAATCCTTTCTGTTCTGGGTCAGAGTTCATTAACAACCCCTTGTACTAGAATAGACACCAAACAAACACACGCATGTTCACACACACACATTTGGCCTTAACATTTGATATCAATAGCAAACCCAGTTACAGTAGGAAAGTATAATTAATAGGAAACTTGTCTTTATTATAAGAGATTGAGCGGGGAGGCAGAGGTTTGGATCATTTAGGATCCATTTCAGTCAACATATGGAGTTTGGATTACAGCCCAAATTAAGACAAAGGTTCACGTCTGGATTCAATGGCACTGAAATGTTTGAGTCTTCTGAGTACATTTCTGCCTTTGTTCTCAGAATATTTCGGATATATCAGAACCAGAGCCAGAGTGTAAGCCTCTTGGTCCAGATTTTTAAAGCTATTTAGGTGCCAAATGATGAACACAGGTGCCCAGTAAAAACAATGGGAATTAGACACCTGGGTGCTTCAGGGAGGTGAGGGGAGAATGTTAGGTAACTAAATACCTAGATCCCTGTGTGGATACAAAATGTGCTTCCACATCCGCATCTGTATCTGCAAAAATAAGCCACGGATGTCTGGATCCACATATGCAGATACCCGCGGATACAAAATGGGTATCCACACATTTTCAAGGCTCTATAAAAACTTTTAAAAGTCTGGCCCCTGTGGTTTGAATAAAAAATGCACAGTCAAAGTTGAAACCAAGAATCTGAATCTGACCTCTACCCATTTCAAAATTCAAAGGATTCAGATTTGACATTTCCAGTTTGGCCCATCTCCCGGATATTTTATCTGAACATGCTTATGAGGCCCCACTAAAAAAGTTGGTCTAGAAGCTAAAAAGCTCACCTCTCTCACATGTCGTTTTAGATGCATATATACACACTGTCCTGTTTTTCGATAATGACTTTCAACGTGTTCCCTTCCAAATCCCAGAAACGTGTTCATGCACACATAGAGACCTCCTTCTGAATCCTGAAAGGAATCACAGAAAACAGTTATGGTACAGAAGTAACTGAATAGGACAAAAAGACACGAGGAAGTAGAGACAATTAGGAATTGCAGACCTTTTGCACCCTCCTCTTATCACATAGTTTGCATCTCAGGTTATAAAGCACACAGAATTGCCTTCCTTTAAAGAATCTTCCACATCATGTGACAATGTATACCAGCAGCTGATTGGATCATAGTAACACTAAAGGTTAATAAACCTACGGCACCACTAGAGAATTTACAGTGGTGCAACTGCACTGATGCAGCTGTGTTGTTCTAAACTCTCAAGTGGAGTTGCTCTAAGTCTAAATGGACGAACTCTCCAATCAACTTAATCAATCCACCTCTAATGAGCAGCAGCAGCTATGTAGGCAGGAGAAGCTCTCCCATTGACATAGTGCTGTCCACACCAGTGGTTAGGTTGGTGTAAGTTTTGTCGCTCAGGAGGGTGGCTTATTTGCCGCACAAGCAGTTGTGTATACATAGCGTAAATGTGTCCAGTATTCCCTGTAAACTGTGCACTTGTGTGGCCACCCAGGAGAAATTCAAATGCTGCCCAGCTGATTTGCAGACCGACCACTGCTAGGTTGTGTGTTTCTACTGGTGGTGCACCGTCATACATTCCTCGGTGAACATAAAATTTTATTCTGCCCATGGATGGAAACAATCCATACATGGATGAAAAAGATTAGAGGGAACACTGGTCAAGACCTGATGAATAGTAGCAGGCCTTGAAAAATTCACTTGCCTATTCATCCTTTGCAAGAGGAAGATATCCCTTGGCGAATGTGACCACTTTGAGGGATGAGGGATGCTGCTAAGCCATCAATTCCAGCAGAGTCTAAGCTTTCATTTTAAATAATATAACCTGTCTAGCCCTGTGGTTACAAAGATAACTTTATGAATGGGAATTGGTGTACAGCTGTCCTCCTGAGGGTACAGCCAAGCTGACCACATCAGCGCCTCTTCTCTCACTCCTTGCTATCCCAAGCTGTACAGAATTACTAACAAGATTCTGGTCCATTTCACAACTCCTGTTTAGAACCCACTGGGCCACAGTGAAATTGTCAAGAATTATCTCAATTTTGCTTTGCTTCTGTTTGGGGTATCTATGAGCAGAGACCCACCCTGTCCCTAATCACAGCAGCCTAAATAAAACAAGTATGCTAGAGGAGAAACATGACTTACTTCCTTTTGAGACTGATTAGAAAGAATGAAACCCTAAGGAAGGTGCAGATAAAGCAACTCAGCAGAAGTCCCAACACCTTTTCCCTTCCCAGTAGCTGGGTGTTGAGGTCAACTTGCTGACCAGGGAATTGCCTCAAAATCCCACTGCTACCAGGTCTCTCCCAAATCATTCAAACTGTGCTGCTAATGGGTCTGGTCACCTGGTTAGTGGGTGTCAGCCATATCTTTCAAGCCCTTTCTAGTAGTATATCTTTCCATGTAGGTGGCGCAGGATCTTTTTAAAAGCACTTTGACCTTGCTTGCATTCTGGGCTGTAGGATGACAAAACACCTCATTTCTGATACTTTGGAAACACCACTAGCTGAAGTCACCGGCACTTAACTTAGATATACTAGTGTATTAAGCAGCAAAAGTCACCAATGGCTTTGTATTGTTACACAAAAGAAGCTTATGCATCATTCTTGATCAGGTATTGTTACAGGAAGAGGTGTGTTCTTGTATCTCTTATAAGCGAAAAACTAAGACGTCATGCCTCTGGACAGGAAACAGGACTAAATGTACTCTTCCAATTTTGGAGTCATTGTTTTATCCAAGGTCACCTGGCATGCTGGAAGAACACTCTGAAGGGCTGATAGGGCTAAACCTCCCTGTGTTATTTAGTGCCTGACATCAGATCTGCTGTGTGCTGCCAATTCTCCCCCAAGCACTGAGCCTATTAATTCAGTTCACCTCAAACGTGCAAACTCCTAGGCTAAAAATAAAAAAAACTCAAACCCTGTTTCCTAGGCAAGCTCTCCAAAGTTGGAGAAGAACAAACAGATACAATATAAGAACTACACTATGGGTAAGTCTAGTCTACATGCCTCTGTCGCCAGAGGCATGTAGATTAGGCTACCCGACACAGTAAAATGAAGCGGCGATTTAAATAATCGCCTGAGCCGACAAACAGCTGATCAGCTGTTTGTCGGCTCAGCGCGATAGTCTGGACGCTCCCCTGCCGACATCAAAGGTATTTGTCGACCACCCAGGCAAACCGCTGAGGTTTGTCGGCTCAGCGCGGCAGCCATGTAAATTTAAATGAAGCGGCGATTATTTAAATCGCCGCTTCATTTTACTGTGTTGGGTAGCCTAATCTACATGCCTCTGGCGACAGAGGCATGCAGTCTAGACATACCCTTGATGAGTGTAGGAACTCCTTCAAGAGGAAAAAAAACAAACATTGTGATGTCTGGTGTGTATCACAATTTAAGAAACTAGTGTTTATCAACCAAGCTCAGTTTTGCATTAATATGGTTTTCTACACTTGTCCCCCTCTTCCCAAACATTGCGGGTGGAATCCTAGAGAATTCAGTGACAGAACTTTCATTAATTTCCATGGGGCCAGGACTTCACCTTGCTTTTGCCTTCCTATGAGTATCTCTGCATCTTACAGTAAGTTGTGAATCCCATCCCCAGGTTTTGGGGTCTGCCCCCCAATTCCTGATTTTCTAAAGGGAAATTCATCAGACTAATACTCATAAAAATAATAGTTAAAAGACAAACCCATACATGACAAGCACTATCACAGTTAAGACTCCAGAAGTAGCATTGTCCTAACAGTGTCTAGAAGCTTCAACCAAGATCCGTTTTGCTAGGCACTCAAACACGTAAGAGATCATACCTGCTCCAAAGAAACTGCTGTCAAGACAAGATGGACAGATGGTGAGAGAAGAGGTACCTGCATTTTTATGTTACAGACAGGGAATTTATGCACGTTTATCTTAAGTGACTTGCCCAAAGTCACCTAAGGAGTCTGTAGCAGAGGCAGGAATCAGATCAAGGTCTCACAAGTCTCAGTACAGCGAAGTACAAGTTCACCCTTCCTCTCCAGGGAGCAACCCCTCAGGTAACCAAGTATCATTTATACATTTACTATTGCTGGCTTTGCACTACACAGATCACATTAGGTGCTCACTAACACAAGCCCTGTATCCACTGAGACAAAGTTTCTGTTGGGAAACAGCCTTTGTCTTCTGCATGGGAGTTTGTATATACTAAAAGAAAATACAGAGTCATGCCGAAACTACAGGGCACTCCTGCTAAATTAGAGAAAGATGGTAGGCACAGATAAACAGCCTGGGTCATTTATAATTTCACGCTGTCATCTCCGTGGCTTTGAGATGAACATTCCATGGTTACTGCTGTGAATTTGATGAATGCAAGATGAAGTTGGGCTAAAACAGATTTTAGTATCACAGAGCACAATCCTCACTATTTGCTGAAAGTCAGCTACTTCATATCCTCCCCTCTACAGTAGCTATACATTGCTCCACTACTTCCACAAATCCCTCTTCACAAGCTCCCAAAGCCGTCACAGTTTGATCAAGCAGCTCTCTTTCATACAAGTAATGCCATTTTACACATTTGATCCCATTCATGTCAACAGGACTACTTATGCAGGAACTGTATGCAAGCTTGGGAAAGGGCTGCAGGATTGGGTCTTAAATTCATACTACACCAGTGACATGCTGCTGCTCCTCTGACAGAGAACAGGAGGTCGGAAAAGTGTGGAATAGGACTCTACACAGTACCAACAGCGGAGATATGCATAAGAACGGCCATACTGGGTCAGACCAAAGGTCCATCTAGCCAGAGATCCTGTCTGCCGACAGTGGCCAATACCAGATGCCCCAGAAGGAGGGAACACAACATGGAATCGTCACGTGATCCCTCTCCTGTCATCTGTTTCCAGACAAACGGGCTAGGGACACCATTCCTACCCATCCTGGCTAATAGCCATTATGGACCTAACCTCCATGAATCTATTTAGCTCTTTTTTGAACCCTGTTAAAGTCCTAGTCTTCACAACATCCTCTGAGCAAGAGGAGGGCAAGAAAAGAGAGAAACATTTTATCTCAAGACTGTTAAGCAAACACTTTCCTCTCATGGAACGTCACATGGTTTCTTTAACATGAACTAAAACAGATGCAGCTTTGGTTTTTCATATTCACCTGAAAGATCCACATATACCAATCCTTGCAGTACTGCCCAGCTGTGTTGACCCTGTGGAGATCCGGCAGGACTGTGTGGAGGGCAGAAGTATGATTGTCTAGTTCAGGGATGGGGGAACCTTGTTTGGTCGGGGGCCACTGATCCACAGAAAAATCAGTCGGGGACTGCACAAGTGAGAAAACCCTGAATGAGGCGGCCCCTGATTGAGAAGGAAAGACATTCTCCACATTTCCATTGCATACCAGAGTATTCGGGGGTCCAGGCTAGAAGATTTTTTGTGCTCTAACCCCATGGAACACAAAAAGGGGGCTGGAGCACCAGCCTGGGGGGACCCCGATCTTTGGGGGCCAGATCCAGACAAGCTGGCGGACACATCTGGCCCCCAGACTTTAGGTTTGAAAGACCTTGACCAGGGTAAGGAATCTAAGATCAGCCCAATTACCTATTCAGAACTCCAGCCCCTAGACACTAGTGGGATGGGTGCGCTATAGCCAGAAGTCATGTCTTTAAACTATTCTGCTAACTCATCTCTATTTTATTCCTGAGCCACATGATAGGAGAAAAACAAGGGATCAAGAATTTGAAGCTAGGGTTACCTCCACCACTGGGAGCCACCAAGGACACCACCAATGCATCAAGTAGTAAATAATCCTTGTTTTAAAATCATCCCCAATATTTTTTTTATATATATATATATATTTCATAGATTCATACAGTTTAAAGTCAGACGCGGTCGTTATGATAGTCTTGTTTGACGACTAGTATAACAAAGACTGTAGATCTTTAATACGTGAAACATGGAA